GAAGAATGTCTGATCTGTCATAGTCTTCAGTCAGAGCCATAAACGTGTTTGGGTAAAACAATCTGATGTTCTGATAACGTTGATAAAAGGAACTTGAAGATTGGGTCACAGGAAGTCCCAGATAAATGCTGAGAGGAAACAGGTTCTTTTTGAAATAGCCTCTTCATAATCACTTTCCCACACATTTTGTTCAACTTCAGAAAGAGGACTCAATACCTGATTTGCTTTGCAAATGAAACAGCTAAGAATGAGAAATTCAGATCATGCTAAAACAAATATATAGTATTTGGAAGGCTCCTCTAGCTTGAGTTAAAGCTTGTTTTTGTTGTTGTTTTTGCCAGAAGGCATGTACATTTTGGGGGGGAGGGGGGACCTGAGAGGGACGGCTGAGGCTGCACTGCAATCCCTTCTCCACTTCACCAACCTATCTGGATTTGGGGCATTCATGCATATTCTTCAAGTTGCCAGGCTTAGGACTCGAACTACAAGGCAGACCATGTGGGATCTGGTTACCTTAACCCAGGCCATGGGTTGGCCCTAACTCCCTGAAAGTTTAGGCTGTGGCTTAAGAGCTGTGTTAACTGTTCTTGTAAGGCATAGGCATACTTCAGTCTTTATTTATTTGTACACAGCTTGTTTTTTGTTTTGGTTTTTTTTTTGAGAGAGATTTTTGCTATAGGGTGCCGGTGGTCGCGAGAGACAGAAAGCAAGAAATCACCCTCCAGGGGGAGGGCCACACCGCAGTCCCTTCTCCTCCATTCTCCTCTTGGGATCTTGGGCACGCACACACACACCCAGCATGAGTTTTAAGCCACTGGGTCAGAGACTCAAGCTGTGGTCAACTGCGTAGGAGTCCAGCGACGTGACCATTACGCCACCTGCTGGTCCCATACACTACTTTGTTTTAAAAACGGGTTCAAAGTGATTTATTGAAAGAGATTAAGACAGAAAATAACAATATGATAACAACCAAAGAAGAAACAGAAAATGGTGATCCAGAAAAAGAGAGACCAGCATAGCGTAATGGCTATGTCTCTGGATTCCCATGTAGTCGACTGCGGTTTGAGTCCCGGACCCAGTGGCTTAAAACTCACAACTGGATGACAACTGGGTGCATGTGCGTGCGTGCCCAAGATCCTGAGAGGAGAATGGAGGAGAAGGAGGGACTGTGGCGTGGCCATCCCCTCCAGGGGGGGGGGGGATTTCTTGCTTTCTGTCACTCTGTCTCTGTCTGGCAAGCGCCCACACCCTATAGAAAAACCTCTCAAAAAAAAAAAAAAAAAAAAAAAGACCATAAGTAAATAGACCATTGAATTTTACAGTCCTATCAGACAAAGCAAAATACGAATACATTCTTCTATCCAGTCATTGTTATCTATGAAGGAGAAAACAGTCCTTCACCCACGACTCTGCAGCTGAGTGTTAAAAGGGACAGTGTCCTCAGCAGGGCCCTAGCCACACAGGCTATACTCAGTTTCCTTCGGGGCAAGTACCTAAGTGGCACTGCTCCATGTGAGTGGAAACCTCAGCTCTAAAGCTTACCCAGGGAGCAGGGACGAAGCGTGCAAAGGTGGCATTATTATCTTACTTACCATGACGGGTCTTCAGTATTTTTTTCATGTTCTACACACACAAGCTGGCAGTTGGATAAAGGAAGAGAGCGAGCCTGGAGTGGCCAGAGAAGTCTCCTCTCGACTATGCAGGGTGTGCATTTTCTAAAAAGCCCTTTCGAAGTTTTCAACAAATCAACATCTCTCTATGTCCATTTCCAATTTCTTAAGGCTGTGCTATACAGTGCCTGGTAATCGTTGTCTGTCACAAGAACACAGAATTCATAATCCCAGAACTGTTTTGGAGATACGGCTTGTGAGGTCTGAATGAGACCACAATACGGTTACCACTATGCGATGCGTCCTCTTACCTGTCAGTGGGATACATTTCATCCTCTTAAAGTCATAACCGGAGAACAGGTTTCGACTCTCAAATGCCGAATGAAAAGGATAAAAGAACTTGGGTAAAAATGTTCTTCGTGGGGGCCAGACAGTGGGGCAGTGGTAACGCAACCACTCTGGGAGGCTGACCCATGAGGGAAAGTTCTGGGTTCCCATCTGACAACCTTCTTGAACACATTCCGGGTGTGCTGCTGTGGGGGTGAGTGGCAGCGTGCAGGCTGTTAACAGTGGTTCTCTCTCTGTCTCGCTGGCTCATGTAAGAAATAAATTTTAAAACAATTTTTTGGCTGAAATTTAACTTTTGTCAATGAGAGAAAGCATACTGAAAAACATCTCTTCCAAATTTCTGCTTCATGATGATTTCTGTTTAAAAGATCCACAGCATTAAAGAGTTTCTGAATATGAAATCACACCAGCTTCTCTTAACAATATGAAATTGAGATGCTAGGCAAAAGAGCCATCCAGAAGTAAACACAAAAATAGCTTAAAAAACAAGCAGAACGGGGACCAGCAGTTAGCGTAATGGCTATGTCGCTGGACTCCCACATAGTTGACCGCGGTTCGAGTCCCGGACCTGGTGGCTTGAACTCACGCCGGGCGCGTGTGTGTGCGTGCCCAAGATCCCGAGAGGAGAATGGAGGAGAAGGGATTGCGGCATGGCCATCCCCCCTGAGGGGTGCTTTCTCACTTTCTGTCTCTATGTCTCTCTCTGTCTGTCTGGCGAGCGCACGCGCCCTACAGCGAAAACCTCTCAAAAAAAAAAAAAAAAAAAAAAAAGAAGCAGACCACTACTACAGGCATTAGGTAAAAGATTTTAATTCCTTATTTAACCATGCTGCATGTATACAATATCAATATATACAACTTGAACACATACAGTTTATACATAAAATATAACAGTGTGGCTTCTGAAATCAATGTTACAAAGTCATTGTATGATTTGTGATTCTGGCCAGTATATGGAGTATTGTAGTGATATCGATGAAGTCATTAATGATTTAAATTAGTCAGACTACAGCCCAAGTCAAAGGCACTAGGAAGAACTATGTTTTTTTTCTAGCATTTTAAGAACAAAGAATAACTTAAAAAGAAAATGAATGTATACATTAAGAAATTGGGCAGATATAGGCATGCCTGGATGTAAACTCTACCCATTCCTTAAATCACTGCTCTGTAAGAAACAGAGGGACTTTATTTAAGAATTAAGGGAAAGATTTTTTTCTTTAGAAAAAGAAAAAAGTAAATTAAAAAATATATATAATAATTCTAGAAACATGTTACAGATAAAGTAACACCAGCCCCTCGCCAAAAATAACCTTAAATTTCTTGCTTAAAAACAAAATAAAACAAAACCCTTTTCCAAAAAAGTAACAAAGATAACTTGTCAAATAGATTCTACTTGTGGGAGGGGCAGAAATGCAGATGCAGAAACCCTTACCTCCCCCTTTGCTTAATCTTGTCCTTTATAAGCATCTAAATGAAAATGGGAAATACTTTATTTCAACATCGTAACTATCAGTGCATGTAATTCAGAGTTTATTAAAGAACATATTATAAACCAAAAACTACCAAAGATTCTTTAATAAATAAATATTACTTTTTAAATTAAAGAGAAAAGATAATATCCATTCAATAACCTATTCTTATATATATATATATATGTATATGTGCCACTTGTTTTAAAATCTGCATATTTATTTCAAATAGTGATCAAGTTTGTTCACCTATATCCTTTCAGGAAATTAACACTGAAGTTACAAAATATTTCATTTGTGGACAAAGACACAGTAAATGTGAAGAGACCACAGAACTGCAATAATGGCTTTAAGTCAGCGTCCCACATTTTCATATATATAATCAGACCTGACTTGAACATCTAAGTTTTCATAAGATGAATATTTAATGTCTATCTGGTATAATCAGTTCTAACATTTAAAAAAAAAAGAAAAAAGAAAACCTGCTAGAGTAACCTGCTAATAGCTTTTTTTTTTTCTTTTCTTTTCTTTTTGTGGTGGGGTAGGATAGAAAAAATATCTAATATACTCTCTTAAATTTCTGTAATGTTTTAAAGCTTATTCAAAAGTTATTCCTTTCCTATTAACTGAATTTTTAAGGGCCAGAAATACGGACTCTTAAGAAAGAAGCACTGTTTTTTCTTTTTCCTACTGATAAAATTAAGATTTCTATACGTACTAACAGAGTTAAGTGTGTAACATCAAAAACATTTTACAATTACCAAAAAATTCTACTCACGCAAACCTTTCACAAGAGACTAACTGGCCCCAGGTCTTGACATACCTTAACAATGCCCCACAGAGCAAAGTTACGAATCTCTTATTTCTTTCACACTAAAAAGAAAATGCTGCCAGCGAAAGTCCATTTTAATTACCTAGAAAATACTCACCATATGCAGGACATTCAGCACTCCACTTCTGAACTGTCCTTGAGATTTACGGGCATTTTACCACCATCTCATCTCGTCGCTGTCCCTCCTTCGCTCTCTATACAGCGTTGTACTTCTACACTAATATTTAGCTAAACTTATTAAAACAGTATTAACTTAATACATATAAATTTGTAAAGTCTCAAAACCTTCACTACCAATGTACTTTAGGGCTGATTACATAATTTTAAACCCACAAAAGATATATCATCTGGTTTAGGAGTAGCATAACTTCTAAAAGAAAAATTTTGTAAGCAGCCAAATAGAATAAATAATTCAATCTATTCCAACTTATTTTACTATAAAATGACACAATTTTTATTTTTCGAGCAATATGATCTAACTGAACTAATCAATAAAAGAAATTCAGAGAAGAATTTTTTTTTATAATATATGAAGGAAAACAAAACAGTGTTTTAAGGGCAAATGATTCAAAGATATTTTTCTTGCTTATCTGCAAAATCTCTCTATTTCTGGAAAATAGAGACTCTTCTCAACTGGGAGATACAGAATAGTTTCCACCAAAATTGAGAACTCAGATAAAGAAAAATGTCCACAGTCATACTTATCAGTAAATTTAAGAAAAATACACATTCAGACAAAGGTAAGTGGTCAACACTTTGCTTAAGTTTCTGCAATTTTGGCTCCTTTACATTTAGGTATAGGACAATGTTTTGAAAGAACATAACATCGGAACAGAAAAAAGTGTATTTGATAAAACTCAAGATGGCAAACAAGGTCAGGAGAAGTCATGATAAAATACATTTTTAACTTTTTTTTAAACATGTATACTTGCAAAGACTGACTAGTGAATTATAAAATTGTCTATAGAAGACCAGTAAGCTCAGTCATCTCATATTAAAACGCAATGAATGTTAGTGTGAAAATCAGAGTGTGTTTAAACCAGCTGGGAGGTTAGTGTTAGGACACAGCCATTTCTTAGATGTGCAGCCCAAACAATCAGCTATAACAACACAACACAGAACAATGAGATCTGCTATTTTCTATGTGCAAAACAGACCATACTTTTTTTCTATTTTGGAAACCTGGCTATCTCAATAAGCAGTGGCTGGGTAAATAACTAACAGACTCACACACATCTAAACTGCAACTCTACCGTGCGAACTGCTCCCCCGCTGCACAGCACAAGCGGAGTGGTAGGGCGGCTGGAACGATCACCAGTTGTACCAATTAATATGCTACATTAACTTAATATATATAGACTAAAGTTATTAGGCAAATTATTGTTTCCAGTCTCACTCCATAATTAAGAGCTTCCATTATTTGAAATTACACAGACGTCTTCAGTGTTGTAATTAAAGATTTCGTCCAGCCATGAGAATATCACTAATTTTTACTGTGTCTGTAACATTTACTGTAATAAGGAGTCAATTACAGTTTCAGGCTTTGTAGAACGCTTTCTGTTTGGAAAAGAGAAAAGAGAAAGCATGAATACTTTCCTAAAAGACTGAAATGCAAAACTTTGAGTTACATGTAGAGTAACTCAAAAGTTCATGTATTCAAAATTTGGGGAAAAGCAGCTTTTATTTTCTAGAATTTCGGGAGCCCCAAAATATTGCAATAAGCTTACATAGCTAACCAGTACTTGATGCAGAAAAGGAGAGAAGAAATAAGCTCTAGTCCAGGGCTCCTACGTCCGCACTCCCAGGGCATGTGTGAGACAACACATGTCATCTACTTCACAGTTAAATCAAGTCCCAAAGAAAGAAAGGTGACCAGAGAATTCTTCCTTAACCTGGGCTTGAGGAAATCAAGTTTCCTGGGACAATGTTTGTGACAGAAAAACTAACAGGGCTGAATACAATACCGTGGGAGTTAAACCAGGCAAATAAATTAGCATCTCACTAGAAGAAGTAATGTAAGAATGAAGGAATTAAACAAGATAGTAGTGATCCACTACACATTTGTGAAAGACAATGTGAATTAAAAATTCCATTACTGGGACCAGCAGTTAGCGTAATGGCTATGTCGCTGGACTCCCATGTAGCCAACCGCAGTTCGAGTCCCAGACCCGGTGGCTTAAATTCACGCCGGGCGCATGTGTGTACATGCCCAAGATCCCAAGAGGAGAAAGGAGGAGAAAGGATTGCGGCGTGGCCATCCCCCCTGGGGGGGTGATTTCTCACTTCCTGTCTCTCTGTCTCTCTCTGTCTTTCTGGCGAGCGCATGCGCCCTATAGCAAAAATCTCTCAAAAAAAAAAAAAATTCCATTATTCAGGCTGAAGTTGAAAGACCTTAATTCATTACTTGGATTTTATTTACTCAAATTGTCACTATATACAGATTTTTATTTTTAATTTATCAGTCAAAATATTTATCATGTTAAGTAAATAAAATCTAACTTCCTTTAAATGTATCTACTCAGAATATCTCAATGCCTTCACTTCATGAGATTCAAGAGCAGTCCTTACCTTCTCCCGGTCTTTGGTCTTGCTTTTCCCTTTGAAGTCCGTGGCCTTTCTAATTTCATCAAAGACTGACGCAGACTCTCCTCAGTGTAAGCCAGATACACATGGGAAAGGTCCACTTCAAAGGGCTAAGCAAAACAAACACACAACACTCTTATAGAAAGGATTTCTGTAACCAGACTTGGGAGAGCATTTAAAATACTGAATAAACTCCTAGAAAAAGTCACAGGAGATAAACGAAATAATGTCTGAAGACTGGCTCTCCTATTCCCAATATCTACAATGTAGTCATCAAAAGTCAGTGAATCAGAAGCCCTGAAACACTGTATAAGTTTCCTTAGACGAAAAGAAAAACTGCTGCTATTTCCCTAAAGCTGTCTTGTCTCATACCAAACACACATGTCCCAGTAAGGTACTGAAGAGGGCTCCAAAGAGTGACATTATGCCATTCTTATGGTAGAAAGGATAACCATGACTGACAGCAGAACTGTCCTACCCTAATAAGCACCCCATTCTGAAGCCCTTATTCCCAAAAGAACAGCCTATTTTTAGGCAGAGCTGATTAACAGATACAAAGTTGACAACATAATTTAATGACCCACATTCCTATAAAGAAATAACTGCACTTTAAAAAAAAATACTCTTACATCTTTCTCCTTTTTATCAGGTACTGGAGTTTGCTTCCTCATGTTATTTCCTGTGTAGGCAACACATTTCTCAAAAAAGGAAAAGGTTGGGAGGGGAGAAAAAATCTTATTAGTAAAGAATACAGTGAATTAGACAAATTACTGTGAGATAACCCAATACTATTCTAGTAAAACATGATCTGATGCAGAAGCAGAAAGGGGCCCAGTGGTCATTCAGTCCCATGTAGCTCCTGACCCAGACCAATTCCCCTGCAATGATAACCATGGTACAAAAAACTTATCTGTCCCTGGATTCTCACCTGACCCATGCTCTGGACCACCTTGTCCTCCCCTGGCAGCCAATACAATCTACAATCCACAGAAGCACTCCATGGTATTTTGGGAGAAGGTGAAGGTAATACTCACTAGCTGCCATTCTCCTATGTCTTCATTCCAATGGACATAGTTTTCAATCATTTCCTTTTCAAAGAGTCAAAGATAGTTTATTTTAAACTTAATAACAATTTAAATTTTTCAATATTTGATAACAAAAATTGAAAAACATTCATAGAACTAAAATCTCAACATTGTTAGGTGAAAAAAGTTGTCTTGACATATACTTCATAATAAACACTTTTTATACATTTTACAATATTTGTTTCTTAGGAATACATGAAGATACAACTAAACTATATACAAATAAAAGGCAAGAGAATGAGGAACAGGAAATCAGGATGATATTTACCTTAGATTGGAAGAGGCAAAGGGATGAAACAGGAGAGGGGGACACAATTTGGTTAGCAGTAGTTTACTGTCGAGGTCTACCTCTTGTTTGAGTGATGAGTTCACTAAATAAATGCAGACCACCCAAGGACCAATAAAAAGAGTGTATTGGGAACTCAAGATTAATTCTCTATACCCAAAATCCATCCAAAGAAAAAAATACTAAGGCTTATTTTCAGATAAATTTCTTAAAACTACATTAAGATTCAATGTAAGATTTTTTTAAAAACAAATCAATTATGTTAAAGTTTACTAGAATGTACTACAAAGACAGAAATTTTAGATAAAAAAAATAGATGCTGAGATTTTTAAATTACATTATTATTAACAATCAGCAGCCTGTAGTCAGGCCCATAGTCTGGTGGTTAAGGGAGCCTGATTCCAGATGGCTGCCAGTATGAATCCCAGGCCCTAATGGCTTGAAAAACATACCAGGCATGTGTGTGTGTCCATGCCCAAAATCCTGACAAGATTAATAAATGGAACAGAAGGAATTGCAGTATGATCATGCCCCACTGGAGGGTACTTCCCCCCACCCTCTGGAAAGCATACATGCTCTCTGTCAATTAAAATGAAAAAAAAAAAAAAAGAATTAGCACCCATCTGAAGCTGGGTGATAGTGATGGGTATACAACAATGTCTATGTATTTAATGTGGCAGAATTGTACATGTAAAAATGGTAAATTTCACGTATATATTTTATCACATGCATACACATGAAAAGAATTAGCACCAATAAACAAGGAGAGAGAGCAAGCACAGGGGTTCTGTTTATTTCACATACGACAAATAATGCTGGATGAATGAACAGGACCTTTACCCGATTCTGATTGCATTTACGTGAATCTGAGTTCTTCCAAAGGGCTGAGAGATTTTTATTTAGATACTTAAGACACTCTGATAGATTATTATGTATTAAGAAAAGCCTCAACTAAAGTGATATGTGATGACCAAAAGATTTTATAGTTGATAACTGAAGTATAAATATTTACCAACAATTAAACTAAGAGCTGTATTTCCTTGTTCCTCACAGCTTGGTGATACTAATAGCTAGTTCAAAGAACTCCCCATTTACCTGATAATCCTGAGGAATAAAGTTATCGATAATGAGCATCTGAAGTCGAAGCTCCCGGCTAAGTTGCCGAATATTCTCCAAGAGGCCTTCAATTTCCCTCTGATGTTCTTGTTGGAGATCGGCCATCTACCAGAAAACCCATAAAAAATGTCATAAGCAAACAAGCTTTTAAATATGAAACAGTTCCATCTCACAGAAGCTAACTGGTCTACAAGGCCTTATGAGCGCTTACCCAGTTCTCACAAAATCACACTTTCACCATCGATTATTAGTTAACAATTGAAAGAAACTATTTCGCTTAAATAATAGCTACAATTAAAAGTTTCACATAAAGAAGAAATATTTTATTTCCCTAATACTGTAAATATACAGTATGATTACTATGGGTTCTCAGTCAAAACTTCTTTCTAAAAATGCAGAATTAGCAGTAATTTCTATTACCAACCTCTGACTTCGCAGCCATCAGCATAGTCCAAACTTTCTTTAATTTCTTGGTCTTTCCCTGTGCTTCCTCTTGTAAACTGGTATCTTTTTATT